CACGGAATCTACCTTAACAGGTAATCATCATACGAGAGTTTGTCGTTTTCGTTGATAGTAAAGAAACCGTAGTCAATATACAGAGAAATTCTCATAAAATTGAAAATCGACACATATCAAACGACATATACCTATCAAAAGTCCTGATCAACACGCATACACAAAAACCTGTAGGTTGTTACAGTGTGAGGGATACCCCAAAACAAATGAACATATTTTAAAATTCGGAAAATACTGGTCACGTAGCACATCACCCAAATTATATCTCCATACAGGTGTAGACAGTGTTGAGAGTTTTAGATTAGATGAAATTTATACTGACAACGGTAAATGCTGATACATTTACGATCGGATTACTGAATTTAAACGTGGTCGTACACATGTTCATCACGATGCATGTGGTGGATACCCAAAAACTGCTACCAACAAATATATTGTTATTTCTATCAGGCATATGGAAGATCGTTGGAAAAAATGTATTGATCTCGATGGCGATTATATTGAAGAGTAAATGTATTTTCAGAATCAACCAATCTTAGTTCCTGTAGATTCGAGAGACTTTTAAAATCAACTAGTACATGCTTCAGATATTTAAGCTAGTTTTTTCTTATTTCTGTATTTCAGGGTTTTCTAAACTTCGTTCATAGTCCTGGATTCCACTTACTATGAAATCTATCACATTCTAAGAGATGAAAATCTCGGTAGGCAATACACATATAAAACCGTCAGCATTGTAATTCGGTTATAGGCACGTCTAGATGTTAATTTTGGTCCAACATTTTTTCTACCAACAAATATATTGTTATTTCTATCAGGCATATGGAAGATCGTTGGAAAAAATGTATTGATCTCGATGGCGATTATATTGAAGAGTAAATGTATTTTCAGAATCAACCAATCTTAGTTCCTGTAGATTCGAGAGACTTTTAAAATCAACTAGTACATGCTTCAGATATTTAAGCTAGTTTTTTCTTATTTCTGTATTTCAGGGTTTTCTAAACTTCGTTCATAGTCCTGGATTCCACTTACTATGAAATCTATCACATTCTAAGAGACGAAAATCTCGGTAGGCAATACACATATAAAACCGTCAGCATTGTAATACGGTTATAGGCACGTCTAGATGTTAATTTTGGTCCAACATTTTTTCTACTGTACCTTTTGGTTGTTAACAGTAATACCCAACCATCTTCACTGTCTCTTAAATTGTATTTGTATTATGTAAAAAACCTTGAAAACTTCAAAAAAACAAAAACTTACTAAATGCCATCTTGCAGACTAGGTAGTTTTTAATGTGCAAATAGTTTATTCCACGTTTGCTCGCTATGATCGCTGGTCGCTGACGTTTAAGCAACACGTACAGCTACAATACAACAAGTGCACAACAGTTTGTGCTAAGTTAACATCTTGTAGTTATGTCACAAAAAACCTACAAAATGTCAAAAAAACCGACAAAATGTCACTTTTCAAGATACGTTGGACTAAATTCTAATCTGATTCATTACCTGCAAACACTCCAAATCAATACTTCTTGGGAAGTAGGGTTTCAACTTTACTTAGCGAACCTAATTTTTCCCACGAAATTGGGGTCCACCCCAACTTTGTAACAATGAGTACGAAAAAACGTCCCAGTGATTCAAAGCTACGCCGCTGAAAATTCATCTGCGAAAATAAAACAATGCAATCAAATTTAACCAAACCCGTACATAAATAAATGTCCAATGTGAATTATTCATCGAATTTTGCATATGGAAAAACATGATAGCCGTCTGGGGAGGCAGGCGAGCGCTGAATAAAAATCATTATTTGCTGTCGAATTGTAGCGCTTAGTGACACAAACGGTATGTCATGCCATGCCTACACCTCGAAGTGATTTTCATTTAATCGCTTAATTATTTACCTATAACATGTAGGCTGGACACTTTGTATTCGCGTCACGTTGCGGAGATTGTGTATTGTGAAAATGGGGAAATTGGGTGGTTGATGTAGATGCATGATGCATACAGGGTGTAGTTCAACACTTGAGTATGCATCCGATTAAAGTGCTGCGTCATTTTTCGTATCCTTGTATCCCAACTAGCAAAGTAGTGGTATAAGCTTTTGGTAAAAGAACCGTTCAGCCATAAAAGCTCTCTATTGTTGTTGCCTGAACACCAAAATGCTGGCTTAATGTTGTGTGGAATGCAAATTTGCTTTCTGCAACATATTTTCTCTAAGGTGAGGTGTTTAAAATATTATGTATATATATATATATATATATATAAGTACCCAACAAAGGTCGGAAGCTTTAATTTTTCACCTATATATATATATATATACATATAAGTATATATAATATTAAATAGCATAGTTATACAACACCTTATGGGGCAAACTTTTAACTGTTGCATAAACGTTTATACAACTATTTTATACGGCATATTTGCACGTTAGTCAAAATGGTTGTGTTGTGGCATCCATGGTAACGTTTATAAAACAAACCCGAGCCTTGTTGTTTTGCTGTGCAATTTACTTCTTTAGCCAACAAATTGCTCCCAACGGAAGCACTTATACAACTGTTGGTTAGTAACTGTTAAAGGCTGTACATGTGCTAAATATGGTGCTATACAACTTCACCATAACCTAACTTTCTGCTGTCATATTTTTGTTAAAATGCCATAACCAATGTTTTAAGACAAACAACGCATGCATATTGGTTCAAAATGTTTCATCAACTGCTCAAACAGAAGATATAGATCTGGTACAAATTCTGGGTAAATCATTCGACTCTGTCGGTATTTCATTTCAGACATTTGTCAAATTGTTGTATAACACCTGCAGGCAACACCAAAATAATAATAACCTAAAGACAACATGGACGATGCCATGATTATACACAACCACCCGCCATATTGGGCAAACATTTATTCCTCTATTTAATATTAAATAATTATGTTTCAGTTCGAAATTACAGATATAAAGTGATAAACATTAGTGTAATTGTGTCTAAATATAGGATTTGTGGAAGATTTAACGCAGATAAGTTCAGTTTTCCATCTTAAAAATCTAGACATACTTTTGATCATTATCAAAATATGAATCAAATACGAAGCCCGTAGAAATTGCGTAACTAATTTGAACGATAATCACAATAAAATTTGCTGCGCAAGTAATTCAATAGCCCTATATCACAGTGTAGAAGTTTATCATATACCTGTAGAAGTAGAATCACGTAACAGAATAGTTGTATAGTTGACAAAAACTGAATCTTGCACTGACGCAAATGTCCTATAGCGGCTGCAAGAGGCTTACACTTTTGTTGTATAACTGTTACCTGCAGCCCTTATTCAACCTCTTAAATGACTGAAGTGTCCTATTAGGTGTGCCCATTCCGCTTGTATAGCAGTTGTAAGAGGGTTTTGCCAATGTTCTTGCAGTATACAATGCTGTTTAAGGAATACTGTATAATCATTCTTGCAACTCTAATAGAAGTGATAATTGTTAGTTGGATGGTATAAAGTTAGCCAGGAAGATGTAGTTCTTTATTTTTCAAAATATGTATCAAATTATAGTCTAAGTAAGTTGGATTACAACTGCAAACAGTTTCTGATATCTTGATAAACAAAAAAGTTATGCCATCGATAATTTCAGTATTTGTATGTAGTAAATGTCTTGCAGTTGCTGGCTGTTTCACAGTACAGACTAGTGACAATTTGAGCTACTTTGGGATACTTAATAAGCACATTTTTCTTATAACACATACACCAAAGGGTTGATGAAGTAACCGAGATATTAGGTTCCGAAATGGTTATCAAATTAGTGAGAATAATTCAAGACGTCGGGTGAGTGAATAGAGCTGGTTCTTTACAAATTGGGTTTGTAAAACAGAAAGATTTATTATTGATATGAAGTCGGCTTACGGGAGTGCTAAATATTTCGAAATATAGTCAGATTTTTCGGGACGTTTCCATCCTGACTAACCTATGTTTGCTTATCTCAAGAAGCGTATGGCACGTCGAGACGAGCCCCACGGGGGTCTTCGACAATCTCCAATGTTGCAAACGTCGTTCAAATTTCCGGATAACATATAGTTAGTTTAAACTCATCGAATGAGAAACAACATCATGTAACTCATTTATATTATTTAAGGGTAGGAATGAAGACATCGAACCCGGTATAATTTAAAAACATTAAAAGCTGAAAGGTCAGATCGAAATTCTAATTATGCCACAGTGTAGAAGAGAAAAAGTAGTAATATTTTTTTGTAATTTGTTTGAAGCTTGCACACAATGTGGATGTTTGTAAAGTTTTGTTTCGGACTAAACCCAGGAGAAAATGAAAACGACTTAGAGTAAATTCGGAAATACTTTGAATTTCCAAACTGTCAATGTTCATTTTTTTTATTTACCTAGTAATAATTATTGATGCATGTTACGCTAAAGTCCACTGAAGGTACGGACCATAGTTTTCAAGATCTCAAAGGCGAGGTTCGAATTTGAAACACACATAATATATATATATATATATATATATATAGTGCTTTCAACAAAATTAAGTTTATATCCAACATAGATTTCAACCAGTCCTAGTAATTTTCCACCGAATAGATATTTATTCAGCTTCTGGAGAACCCAGTACATGAACAATTTAATTTTTGTAAAAAATGTACTCTCCATTCAATTTTTGCCGAGCTAGGTACACCCTTGACGCATAGCTTTGACATTTGGAGCGTAGCATCTCCCAAGAAGTAAAATTTAACGTTCCGTACAGGCCAAATATATATGCCTATATTGACAAATCTTGTAATGCTTTATATTATTGCAAGTGATTCATGGGAATCTTCATAATTGAAGCCTGGGCGAAAGCTCTTATCAAAGACTTGTGAGGCTCAAAATCTTCATCATGTTCTCGATGATCCTGCTTTGCTAAATGCAGGTTGGTTCCAATAGTGGGGCGGTTGTCATGAGTATAGCTACAAAGTCATGAAATCCTTCGGAATAAGTAGTCTTATGAATACTCACCTCCATCCTTCTGACTTCTATTAGATAAATCCTGCGCCATCTCCATGTCCAAACTTCCGTCCTCCGAGTCCGTATCCCTTAGCTCCCTCTGGTGGAACCTCTCCACTGACTCCACAGGCGGCAACTGTCTTATTGGGTGGCTTATTATTGGGCCCCAGCAAGTTGAGTTCGCACTACGTTTTGGACCACTATCATCACTCATGAGGGCCTCGATCGAAAACGGACGAGGAACTGGCTTTGATATGAGAGGCTCACTGATTGGAAGTTGAGTCATCGCGTCACTTGTTGGGGCTTCCATGTCTGATGGTTTTTCGTTTCCAGTTCAGTTAGTAACTGCACTGACTAAAATGTTTTTCACGATTTGATTTGTTCATGTCACTTACTGTAGCGGTTTGAAGTGTCTTCTTATAGATGTTCTTCTGGTGGTTTTCTAGAACAACAAATATCTGATAGAATAATTAAAAAGGGCTATGAATATTTTGAGTTTCAGTGAGCCATTGTGTTACTTAAATGGACAAACTATGGAGGAACGTAGTAATAATGGAGAGCAACACAATACGACTACTTTCACTAAGGACAAATTGTATTTTTAGGTCGGTCTCTAGTCTTTCAGTTACAGCTCTGGCGAAGATTTACTAGATAGTGTGCATTCATTATCGTAATGTTCGATTGGCGGGTGGAATAAACAATATGAGTATATTCGGGTATGATATTATATATACAGATGTGATATATGTTCCAGAAGCAAGTGCATATTATCATGTACCTATTTCTTGTCGAACAAATTTATCCTTCACTAGGGTAATCCAGCTTCTTGGATAGATCATGTGCCAGTGTAGTGAGGTCCATGACAACCTTAAATTAAAGGCATGGTGAAGTAGGAAGCAGTAAGGGTAGTTGGCTTAAACGTCGCGAGGACATATGCACATGATTATTCAGAGCAATGTTCATTCAATTTTGTTAGAAAATTTCCTGTGCATTCAAAAAACTACTTGCAGATGAATACGGCTCAAAAGCAGGACAGAGCCTAGAGCCGATATCAGCACGCAGCTTGCATAATTTTTGTTGTGGATGCAACCGAAAATTTCTCGTTTTTTTTGGCTAAAAAAGGATGATTGTTGTTGTTTTTCAGAAAAGAAGGAATTATGGAAACTGGGATGATGAAAAATTCAAGACAGTTGGCCCTGATTGAGAGGCAATGATTTGTTTGCCTCGGGTATTGAAAATTTCAGTGTCTCGTGTCCATTTGGAATCGCGGCCTCTCAGAATTTTTTAAGGAAAGCAGGAGTGAATCTATTTGCTGATAATTCATACAGTTCTAATCCCTGTGACTTTGACCTATGTCCCTGTAATAAACTCGTGAAATCCAAGCGTTCAAGGATGGATCATAAATATCGAAACAGACTAGGAAGAAATTTTTTGAAGTGTGGCGCGTTCCTATGCAGTCCTCCAAACGCTGTAAATGGGGAGATGGAATACCTTATGACGACATATGACGATCACAATGACTTGTATAAAAAATCTAATTTTATCTAAATCTAGGCTAATTTTCAGGATGCGAGGCAGTGGCGTATCTAGACCTTCAGTTCGGGGGAGGGCGGTAATACCTAGGTTTCAGAGTTTCTGAGGAGGGGGTGTGGCTGTAGCCGAAAACACGGAAATCAGGGTTATGAAGGGCCTGCACCTCCCTCCCCCTTAGCGTACGGGGATATGCTCATATTATCTAAAATCAAAATAGAATGGGACCAGAAATGTGCGGTGGAACTGGCCTCTCAGTTAATTATAAATAAATAGTAGATATATTCTCTCAGTGTAATTACACCATATGACCGACAGTTATCCTCGGTTGCTATGGTCTAGTGACATCATGATCAAACATTTTTTGACAGTGAAATCGGATCTGTTAAGACTTGCCATGGAAAGTTGAACAAGGTACTCCTAAGGGACCCTAAAAATCGTATTTTTTAAAATACCTTTACTTGAAGATAGTTCAAAAAATCATGGGAACGGTGCGTCCGAATTTCGGGGTTTTGATTTTTTCGAACCCTTGGATGTCCAGCATAACAAAAACAATTACAGGTATGCCTTTAGTGTCTCTTTCCACAACGTTCAGGTTTTTTATTCTTACTTTTAATATATATTTTTTATATTTGAATCACTGCAAATACCTAACCACCAATGGAGAGCGAATTTTGGCGTGATGAACCATAGAACATATCGAGAGAAATGTTATTTTTTCCAAAAAAGCCTTTTTGTGATTCTCCGACTACCTTCACGTTGTAGAGCGAAACCAATACCTACACCTTTCAAGAATCTTTTTGGAGTTTCCGAATTAGTAAAGAGCCCATCGTTACTGTGTCTTTCCGTGAAACACACGTAAAATTTTAATTTGCATCTTGTACAGCGATTTTTTCTTTTAAGTGGTGCGACTCAAAAAATATTGGAGGAAAGTCATAAGAGTTTATTTTCCTGCTTTTAAGAGGTAAAGTTAATTCCTTTCGAGATATGTACGTTATCTAATTGGTTATCAAATCTTGAAAATCACAGAAAATAGTTACATAATATAATCATGAAATTCCTGCCAATTTAAATATTTAATCGATAACACGAGAAAAAAATAAAAACGACACAGCGTTTCTGGATAGTTTTTTGGACTTAGTGTTCCAATCGCCCTTCATTTTGATCCCTGAAGATACTTTTTCATCATTATAATGGTAAACCCTTTAGTTCATAAGCATGCAGATTCTCAACCTTAAAACATGTGAGCTGCTGCGTCCGTGATTACGACGAAAAGCTTGGTCAGGATTTTTAACCGTTCGTCACCCCTCCCCTCATATGCGCTACTGCTTACAGGCATATATACTTTAGGATTTTGTCGAGGGAAAGGTACAGTTCGCAGCATTAAAAAATGATCGAGTACCGTGTTTGACTTCATAACTCTTCTGCCATTTCTTTAAGTTCGCTCTTACCATTAAGTTACACATAGTTCTTATATTCTTGGAAAAAACCATACAACAAAGTCTTAAGATAACCGGAATATCTGTGATACTACATTCGACCCACTTCCAGTAAATGATTAGGTGGAAAAATACTACGTAGGTCATTATCCAAGACAAGTATCGCATGCCGTGTAGGTGAAACGAGATGTTTGTTTATGAGTCGGATTTGAAAAAAAATCGAATATGACAAATTCCTATAACCACCACCATATGATGACACGGCTAGTGCCTACAAGATACTTTCTATCAGGCGCGGGGTAGATTTGTTTATCTTTTACACAGGTCATTTGTAGAAACGACAAGGTGAGTACAATAGACGACATAGACAGCCTCGAATACTGCAAATTGAGGGAGAAGCTAACAAACTTTTTTTGTACTGGAACATAGACAACTTCGAACAGCACTTGTAGCAAGCCAGTGGGCAGTACTTGCATTTTCTTATCAAATGAATAGCGGGTTGTTGTTGTCTTGTTTTATTTTCTTTTGGTTGCTGTTTTACTGCTCACTATCCTCGTTTTTCAGAATTCTTGCAATAATAATAATGCTTATTGAAGAAAAAATCCAATCTAGGAGCAAAAGGAAACAGCATATCCCGCAATAAACACATGCAACACCACAAAAAGCAAATGCTTGTGTGTGGGGGAATATACCCATTGAGGTCGAACACTTTCAACTTATCATTGCCCTGTGGTCTTTAGCTGTATGTACAAATAAGGTTATACTTTGTTCATTATTTCTACAAAATACTTCTAGATAGTTGCTTTATCATAAACAAGTGCAATGAAGGTTAAAAAATATTAAGGAACCATGATAAAATAAGGACTGCTTTGGGATTTATAACCTTCTGATATTGTTTCCTCAACTATCATAAAATCATATCAGGAGCAGGTAATAATAATGTAGCTTTGTACTATTTAGCATGTCACTAATCGGTAACCAGTGCAACTTGAATTTAAATTCAATAATTACATTGTAGTATGTGTCAGTCACTTACAAAAGCAGCTATCACTTTTTTCTATTCCAACTAGTACGTGTGGTGCCTTTCTGAAATCTGTACACAATGAGCAATCTTTTTATTCAATATAATGCAGTACATTTTTGTTTCACCACAGATGGTCAAACTTGAGGAAAAAATATCAGAAGGTTATACATCCCAAAATACTCCTGATTTGATCATGGTTTCTTAATATCATTTAACTACATTGCATCTGTATATGATAAAGCAACTATCTAGAAGTATTTTATAGAAAAAATGAACAAAGTATAACCTTATTTGTACATGCAGCTAAAGGCTACAGATGAAAAGGTTCGTTTTTTAAAATTTAAAAAAAAATTCAATCTCTCAAAAACGGTGACGCTTTTATATAGGTAAATTTTTGTTATTTGGGAGCTCAGTCCAAAACCTACCTTCTCCAGTTTGTCGTGGTACTTATTGGAGATATATATATATATATATATATATATATATATATATATATATAATCGGCAAGAGATTTTTTTAAAATATCATTATGACACATTGAATGTAAGTGTAATATTTTACCTATTTTCTATAATTCCGTAAACTTGTTCTTGTCTCTTTTCAAGTGATAATTTTTTAATTGTTTTTTAAATGTTGATAACAAAGCTATTTTTTATTTCTTTTTATTTCTTCAGGCAACAAGTTATATAACCGAAAGGCGAGATACGTATAGCATCTGTCCTATTTTTTTAGTAGACAACAACTTTTAGTATGACAACAACTATTGCATATTGGTGTGAAGCATCTGTTCTGGAAGTCTGCTGCAACAATGTGTAACATGCCTGTTCTCCAAACCCACTGTCTACTGTGCGGTTTAAATAACGACGTAATTGGGGTTCAATAGATCCGATGCTACTGATAAGAATAACAATCACTGTTTCTTCGAATTGAATCAGCACATCACACATTGGATATTCGAGCCGGATTCATTGGTCCTTCGAACCGGTACAGAAATATAATAATGGACAAGTTATATCAATTGAATTAACGCTTTACCTTTGATTCCTTACTATCTGAACATCACTCACTTCACTGCTCACCTCTATTCGCTCTTCTCCACTAAACACTAAACTGAGCCGATCTGGCATGGCCAACTATTCACGGATATTCGGAGGGCGGAGTTACCGTTCGCCGCGCCCTCTTGACTCAGTGTTGGTTGGCCGTCAGCCAATCAGCTCTCCGGCAATCTCTGTACCACTTAGCAGTGTTTGCTATGCTTAATTAACTCGCCGGAGAATTAGTGTTTTGTTTGCCTCAATTTCGCCGCTATTACCGACCATCGACCAATAAAATTTTCATCCGTCAATTAGGGTGACGGCTGCTCTACCGCCCATCATCAGAAACGCGGGCGGATGGTGAATGTTAATTTTCACGGTTGTTCGCCGTTGTTGGGAAATTTTGTGAGAGGCTTGTGATGATTACCGTCATTATAGTCGTTATTAGTATGACGAATATCGATTTGATACACCGGTTATCAACGAAAATTGCGTCAGTAATGATACAATTCGTTTTGGTCCTTCGAGCCGGATTATATCCTAAAACATTGATTCAATTCATGACTACGTAGTTGATGAACTAAAGCAGAATGTTGATCTTACTTTTAGTAGATTATGTGCTTTTAGATAACATTAAGCAACTGAGCTAAATCCAGTGGCGTAGCTCATGGGCCTGCATCGTCACTAGATAACTTTTTGTGGAAGTGTACATGATCAAGGGCGTGTCCAGCTCAAAACGGAAAGGGGCACCTAAAAAAAATGTTTCGTGGAAGCTCTTTATTCGCATTTCATTTAAATAGAGCCTTCCACGATGATTTGACAATTTTATGGGTATGGAAAACTACTAGGATTACCTACTTTTTTGGGCGTGCCTACATATCGCTGGGTGAGAATTATAGGGTTCTATGTTACAAAAGTGATTATTCGAGAAAAACGCATCTGAAAGTCCAGTGTTCTGTAACTACGCTTACAATAAATTCTTTGAATTTTCAAGTGTCTCCACATTACGTTACCATTAATGAGTCATGTTATTCGGCTACAGAGACTTGTTATTGCTGGTGTGAATTGAGAAAAACTTCAGCGAAAGTAAACATAGAACCGTGGGAGTCAAAAAATGGTTATATTTATGAACATATAACTTTGGTACAATATAAGCTGTTAAATAAAAACATTAAAAATATCCTAATAAAAATAAACTAAGACATAAAATAAACTAGTTCAAGGATTTTTGAAGTCACAGCCTATATTATAGAAACGAAAAGGAAACATTTTGTAGTTAGTTCCTGTTTTTGTAAATTTTCTTTTTCTTAGTTTTTCCACTTTGCTCCGGTAGTACGGCTTTATAATAATTCTGATCGATCAGTGGCATCCATTTTAGCATAAAAGTCAACGATTCAACTTTATTGGCTGAAAGCGCTACTTTGGAAGTAGTAGTTGTCGATTTCACTCTACTTTGTAGAGCATTTTCCATTATTTTTTCTTTTTGTATTTCACATTCTGTAAAAGAATTCTCCGAACGAGAAATTTTGTAATGTACAATGTGAGGTGTGGATTTTCGAAGTTGAAGTGATGAAACCTTAGAGAACGGTACTCTATCATAACGATGTAGGGAAGAAACCGTTTGGAAGTTCTTAAAATCCTTAAGTTGCATTTGTATAATTTTATAAGGTCTATGTGTATTTACTTTTAGAAGGATCCTGATAAGTGACAGAGGACTATAGTACTCTGTTTTATCTAAAACTCTTTCAATGCTGCATCAATCTCACAGGAGTGACCAGGCACAGAGTACTTAACTATAATCGTTTCCAATTTATTTTGGCCTTCCCAAAGCAGTTTTGCAATTGCAAACGATATAATTGAGTTTCTGTTTTGGGGGACGCAGCTGTCACACCACAGAATCAATTCAGTCAAACTGGGATGATCTTTAACCACCTGACTTAGAATTTTGTAAAGTGCACTTACAATGTCGTTTCCTGTCCTTCCAATTAGGTGTTCTGCCCATACTGCACAGTAAACTTGTTTTGTGAGAGATAAGTGTGCCGTTAAGTTATATACTGATAGTTTACTTTTATAAAAAAACTTGCTGACCTCAGCCTTTGGGCAAGTCAAAACGTTCTGGAGATCGAAACAGAGAACTGCGTTCTCCTTGCAGTCCCTGTCCGAATTTCTTTCCTGTCGACAAGTCTTTTTCTCAAGCATATGTTTTTCATAATTAATTTTTGTTTGCTCATCAAGCTGTGTTTCTTCCATTTCATTTAGCTTCACAAATTCACATACGTCACAGCGATCTTTTTCGGCCGCTGGAAATAAATATTATACTCCGTACAGAAAATTTGACGGTATAAAGACTGCTTGACTGGAGTGTTTCCTTTTTCTTGCATCAAGTCGACATGAAGCTTGTATAATTTTGTTATATTGAGACTTGATTCCATGTATTGTCGAGTAGTATCAGCACGACAATAATGACTATCAATTTTTGGCACAGACTCAATGTGATCTCTTACCAACTGCTTTGCATCTTCTGGTATACTGTGCTTTGTGTGCTTCCCTTGCACTGATCGAGCAGGTGTATTTCCCACATTTCTGCTATTTATATACACGGTGTAAATACTTTACTAATTTTTTTTTCTTCTTTTGTGAGCTTATAGTATCCTTCAAAAATTTCTTTCCGTTGATCCTCAGTAATGTATGTACTACATTTGTTACGACACTGGACACTACAGTCTTTCAAGTTCTTAATAGATCGAGCAGGCATAACCTTTTTTCGAGAAGATACATACGACTCCCCTCTGTTTCTTTTTTCTTTGTGCACATTAAGTGAGCATGCAGAAGGATTTCGTTCTCGTTTTCTAGCTCTTCGCTTCTGGACCTTCTTATCAAATTCACACTCAGCTTCCACCTGAACCCTTTCTATATCATTTGAGTCTGTGATTCTATAATGCTCTACTTCCACAGGTGTCACAGTCAGAACATTATTATTTGGAGGTACACCGCATACATCTCTATTAAGATTTTCAATGGTATTATGTACATCGTATCTAGTTCTAGGTATCTGAGATACCAAAACAAGTTTTTCCCCACTTTCAAAAGCAGGATCTTCATTTTCATTGCTGGAATGAATATATCAGTGTGTTAGTTTACTAACATAACCTCAAATAACTTATACAAACTATACTAATACAAACCTGTCGCTCTCTGATGGAAAATATTCCTTATCCTTATCACTATCATACCCGGCAAACGGATCTTCACTTTCAGATTCGGAACTCATATGGACTGATATTGATCAAATACTGTTAATAAATTAAATACACAACGAAAAGCAAACGAACTTGTGTAACGAACAACAGAAGTGAATGCGTCATGCAATGGCGCCCTCATGAGCATGCGTAGTTCTATGTCAGGACATAGAACTTTGCTCAAACGTAGGTTAACTCAGAATATAACCACAAAGTTGTATGTTAAACATAAAACATTGCACCTCACAAAGGTCAATATTTATAGTAAAGGGAAATCCTATGTTGTACATAAAACTTTGCGGTAGCAATGCTACAAAATAACGAAAAGGTCTTATGTTATTTTGAAGAATAACCCCATTCACCGTTTATATAGAACTGTGGAACCCAATTGAGCTGATAGTACACGTTCCATAGAATCTTGTGGTGCATTATCTTTGTTTTGGCAAAATTGTAACATAGAAAAACTAGAGAAACTAATTAATCATTGATCCTTCTTGGACAGTATCAGTGGATTATGAAGAAATTTTGAAAGGTCTGTCTAATAGTACAAGACCAAAAACTTTATAACTCCCCCAAACTTAATTTTTTTAGTTTCTGTTGATTTTGAACACAATCAAACATTTTCTTAGAGGAGACAATATTTAGAAACAAGTCAAACATTGTTGATATATTTTAATACGTAGTCAAGAGTTTATTTGAAGGATTCAGGGACTGTGAAATCCGGCAAAACTCGTTTCTCAAATGTTAATTATCCATCTATCTAATCTCGAAATGCCACAAAACTTATTCGAAATTGTATAGAAGGATTTATATAGGGTGATGGAAAAATAGATGCGGAGCCGGTGGGGGGAGATAGTACAAGCCAATCTGAGTCGATTTTACTATAGAAACTACTGTCCGAAAATTAGCCGTCTTCGAATTATACTAATTTTTTAGATTTTATAAAATTAACGTCCTTTATACGTTAACCAAGGCATAAAACTTGAAAATTGGGTGTTTCGTTTTATTTTTTTTTTGATTTTACAATAAAAGTATTCTAAAATACGAAAATTGATACTCAAATGTACATTATTGACGTTATCTCATGCAGTAAGCTTCAAAATAGACCAATCCCATGGCCAGCACGCAGTCCCGATCTCACACCTATGGACTTTTTGTGTGGGGTCGCATGCAAACTTTAGTATACTCTGATTAAAATCCTGTACCCACAATAGAAGACCTCAGAAACAGGATAATACATGCAGCACAAGACATTCAAGCCTCTCTTAGGAATTCGGCGGTAGTAAAATCAGCTGTCATAAGAAGAGCACGTGTGTGCATTAGAAATAGAGGGCGCTATATTGAAAATGTATTATAAAAATAAAAAAATGTAATTTCAAACAAATTATCCTGTATTAAGGTATGATTTTGTAAGTGTAGTATTTTTATTGTTTTTTCCTTCCTCCTCTTATAATAGTCATATTTTTGCCAATTCTTAATCGATTTGTGATTTTTATACATCATCTGAAAGGTAATGAAACGTAGATGTTTTCTAGTTATTTTGTACGAAAAATTTGTATGCGACTTTTATTAGTAAACTGAAGGTTTTGAGATGAACGAAGATTTTTTTAACAAAAATCGAACTATTCTGAAGCTTACTGCATTAGATAACGTCGATAATGTACATTTGAGTATCAATTTTCGTATTTTAGAATATTTTTATTGTAAAACAAAAAAAAAATCAAATGAAACACCCAATTTTCCAGATTTATGACTTGATTAACGTATAAAGGACGTTAATTTTATAAAATCCTAAAAATTAGTATAATTCGAAAACGGTTAATTTTCGGACAGTAGTTCCTATAGTAAAATCGACTCAGATTGGCTTGTACTATCCCCCCACCGGCTCCGCATCTATTTTCCCGTCACCCTGTATATTCTTGAGAGAGAATGCAAAAGGCCAGCCATCTTGAAATATAAAATTCTGGGTAACTTTTTATCAAAATTCAGTTATAAGTCTATAGAAGAATTGAGATAGGGATGAAAACACCTTTAAAATGGATATGTCCAGTTCGTTGCAAAAGTTAATTGATTATTTCAAATAATCGTTCATTTTTTGCTGAACTGTCCATAAGAGTACCATAGTAGCCAGAAGTTAAAGCCTTTGCAGTGATTAATATGAAAAAAAATCTTCGAAAATGGTCACGCTAACCAGCGAAAGTGCTCCAACAAATTAGACTTACAGGGTGAGTTTTTAGTATCTAATTTGACAATATCTCCATTACTATAAAACATAATCAGAAATGTTACCTACAAAAATTGTGGACTATACATCCGCTTCATACTCAGAATATATCGCTTTCTATACTGTCATTCATATCGACGTGACAAAAAAAACGATTTTTTTTTTAATGGAACACCGTCCATCTTTTCGTATACCTATTCTAATATGCCACTTCAAAGGGAGAAGTTTTGATATAGCCAGGGATATAGCATAATATTCTGACCCTATCGATGTTTATTCATCTACAATTACTTAAAATTTCATCATACAGCCAAAAATAGTTTTATAGAATATGCGTAGTACGTATGTAGAATGATCTGGAAAACAAATTTGTCATATTTCACCATTGTGATCTCCGAAACGTAAGAGACACGGGTTGGTTGAATGGTTGCAAAGTTGCGTATTTATATATTTTAGAAAAAAGCATTTGGGAAGTTTTGACGCTCCCAGTATCTCCTGAGAAAAGGAAAAGGGAACAAATGTTCCCAAAATCGTTTCTATTTCTTTCTGAATTTATTTTAATTTTTGTCGAGCTAGGGAAAAGGGGGCGCCTGCCCCCCTTGCTCCCCCTGGGTACGCCCTTGAACCTGGTGCTTCCAAAACACTTTGAAGAGCGAGGAGCGCGGTTAGGGTAATTTTCTCAGGAAAGACCGAATCCAAAATCGCACCTTAAATTATGGTCAAATTGCAAATTTTAAGGATGAATCGGATTCTCACGAAGATCCACGGCACGATTGTGGTGAATTCCAATAAATTAAATGTTAAGTTCGAGGTAAAGATTTTTCACAAAAGAAACAAACGCCTGCTTGGAATAAAATAGTTACGTATAGAGTATAGTATTGATTTATACAATTGATGCTCCAAGTTGGATAATTCACAAATAATGGGTGACTTTTTTGCTAGTATCTTTTTGGCAACACTGCTTTTGACAGATGACGCGTGAATCGTGTCTTGTGTCATTGTCAAACTTGTTCAGTTTGGTCTATAATTTAACCATGAATCGAACGAACAACGCTTGCAAATTATTAAATTTTACTAACAAAATGCATGCTCGGTTAAGAGAGTGCCTCGGGCACTGCTTCCAATTTATGGGCAATTTGGTCGGCCTACTGAGGGAGCTATTCGAAAGCTTGTGACTAAATTTCGAACCCAGTTTACATTATTGGACATTAAACCACCAACACGCAGACGTAGAGTGAGGACTGAAGAAAATATTGCGGCTGTATCCGCCAGTGTTAGTGATGACCGTGAAATGTCGATTCGCCGCCGTTCGCAGCAATTGGGCTTCTGTTACTCCACTACGTGGAAACTTTTGCGAGAGGATTTGGGTGTAAAACCTTATAAGATACAGGTGGTGCAAGAATTGAAGCCACACGATCTCCCACAACGTTTCCAATTTGGTGAATGGGCGCTGGCAAAGTTGGAGGAAGATCCACATTTTTATCGAAAAATTGTGTTCAGCGACGAAGCTCATTTCTGGTTGAATGGGTACGTTAACAAGCAAAATTGCCGCATCTGGAGTGAAGACCAGCCAGAAGCATTGCAAGAGCTACCATTGCATCCCGAAAAAATCACTATTTGGTGTGAATTATGGGCCGGTGGCATCATCGGGCCGTACTTCTTCAAAGACGACAATGGCCGGAACGTAACTGTGAATGGCGAGCGCTACCGTGCGATGATAACAAACATTTTTTTGTCCAAAATGAAAGAGCTGGACTTGGCTGACATGTGGTTTCAACAAGACGGTGCCACATGCCACACCGCACACGAAACAATGGCCCTATTGAGAGGCGAGTTCGGTGAACAGTTTATCTCACGTTTGGGGCCCGTCAATTGGCCGCCTAGATCGTGTGATTTAACGCCGTTGGACTATTTCTTGTGCGCCATGTTAAGGCTAATGTCTACAGGGATAAACCAGCAACGATAGACGCACTGGAAGCCAATATTGAAGCATTTATTCGTGAGATACCGGCCGATATGTTGGAGAGAGTGTGCTAAAATTAGACCTTGCGCATGGGCCATCTAAAGCGGAGCCGCGGCCAACATTTACATGAAATAATCTTTAAACATTAAATTATATCGACCGTTCTATCGACTCAAATAAAGATTTAATCGTTTTTTCAAATTTTTTGTGTTTTTTTTAATCAAATCCTATACCTCTTAAAAAATCACCCGTTATATGGTAAGGTTGGGTAAATTCTACCATGTGGCGTATTTAATGAAGTAATTCTTCAATGGCTTCCCAGGATTGAATGAAAATTCAAAGTAAAATAATTTGATATGTTTTACTTCCCTAGGAGTTATACTAATCGCCCTTGGCCCGTCTATAACTTGAAAAGTACTGTTCGGATTTGAATGAGATTTTTAAACAATGTTACTACTATGCCAACGACAAAAAGCTTTGTAGTTTTTGAAAATCGATCCTGTGGAGGCAGAAAAAGTGACTCGAAAACGGGGTTGAGGTTTAGGGGCATACTTGTACGTCTCCAGCTTCAGTAATTCTATTGTGTCAGTATCACTGATAAGAACACCGGTACACCAGATGGATCAGAATCGCATATGATAGTTATTTTAGCTGGATTACGACGCCATTGACCCTTTGACCAGATGTGTCAACCAATAAAGACATATTACATGTTTGTTTTATCATACAAACGAGTCGAAGGGCTAAATGGAAACTTGTGACTCGATATACGACAGATTCTTAGGATTGCCATGAACCAGAAATAAAAACATGTTGGAGAAATCTTTTTAAAGTACAGGGAATGGTGTAGTCCACTACACACTCCCAAACATCGGTCCTGCAAACTCGAGGCTTTGGCATCAATTCATTAGATAGATTATAACACCAAACATTGGTCCTTCACCTTCTAAATAATTTGAATACACTATTAGATTTAAGTATGCTACATTTTCTGGAACCAGGTTACTTGAAACTATAAAACTTGCATTGAAATTGTAAACCATATATCTATTGTACCATTCAGTTTAATTAATCTAGGCAATTCAGTTTATCTAGAAGAATCACATTTAAAAAAATTAAACTAGAAGCATCCATAGGTAATAAAAACAATTAAACACTTTCTCCGCGAACGGTTCAAACTCCTCTTTCTGTGTGATTATTTGTCATTGTTGCGTACTCGGGTACCGAAAAGAAACTCAACAGTAAAACACCTCGCATGCGGCGGGTAATGTGCTCTCTTCCTCTTTGGTAGCCGAAGATAGTAGATATGAAGTGCATCAATTGTAGTGATCCAGGAAACCGTGAAATACAAGTGTGACTCAAACTTAAGGCTCTTAGAACTCTTGTATAAGATGATGCATCCTCTATGAGTTTGAGTTTAGAGCAACAGGTGTTAGTGCTGATTGTCGATTCGGTGAGATGGTTGTTCAAAATGATAGTAAAATATCGACTTTATTTTATATATACGCAAGTGCGTTAAATCCTCGTTAGTTCAATATTGTTGTTTTAGACATGATCCAGTGGCTTTATTAAGTTTCAGCGACAACTTTCCATAATTTAGATAAATACCTTAAAAGAAAGAATTTTTTTATTGATTGGTGGTACATTATTTACTGAATCAGATAAATACATGATACGTCCTGCTTGCATATGTGATAAAATTGATCAAAAGAAGAAACATCGAATTTTGTTAGGTTGATAAAATTTGAAAACTCGTTTTTATTGGAAGATAAAATTAGTAAAATAGTTTTCTGAGTTTTTTGATACCTTAGATTTGTAAGAGCGCAATTCATTTCAAAATTCTATGTCCTTACATACACCATTAAATCTAAATAAAAGAATTCACTAGAACTAAGTAAATAGCTTTATCTATATTAAGCTCTAATTTAACAGTGTAATCGATCTAAGTAAACAGTAAAATACATTTATTAAACGATTGCGTTTTGATTCAAATTCGATTTATACATTCAAAGAAGCTGTTTTTAAAAACGAGGGTTTACTCAAGCTTAGTGGTTTTGTTAACTGTTACCTAGTTAATTTATTTTTTTCATTTATTTTGCTCAGCGCTTTTAAAAAACTTTTTCGTACTAAACAGGATGGGGACCCAAAGCAGCGATCCCTCAAGCTGACGGGAATGGGTATGACAACAGTGTAATTTGATGCCATTTTTGATCACGTTATAAACAAAAAAATGCTGCCAGTGATTCGAGAATTGCTGAAAAGGAGTCTACTTATTTGGAAATATAAACTGCTAATGGCGCAGTTACAAAGTTTCACAAAGGATGCATAACACTGTGTCGTCTTACCTTCCATTTTCAAGTCATTATTCCTTAAATCTATCAACATTTTCAAGTTCGACTCCACTCAGAATAGCAATAGTCGATTATTCGTTCTTGTGCTGTTTTAGTTAAAATGCCAGATTGCAACGAACCTATGAAGATGATGAAATTTTGAAAAACCGGAACGATATAAAAATTGCATCCAGACATGTGAAGCTAGACTATTTATGAGAATCGAGGAAATAAAATGCACAGTCACTGAGTTGCAGAAAGAAAACGACAACCTCAGAGAAGAACTCGAATTACTCAAAAGACAGCAATTAAAGAAAAATATTATTTGGTCTTGACAAAAAACAGTCACTGCAGTAAATGTACCGTTTCCAAACAGTATGTAATTCGAAAGTATAGATTAAATATAATAAGGGACCAAGGCCGAAGTAAGTGCAGAAAATGTATGTTTGGATCTCAAAAATCTACTAGATATAGATATATCTGAGAATGACATTAGCCCAATAAAGATTGAATTCATCTCGAATCTGAAGAAGAAAAATATCAAATGCTGCAGTAGACTAAAAGGGAAAATATATAGGTACATATCCCACGATATTACACAGGAACAAATAGAGCGAGAATAAAATATTGCTAGGCAAGAAAATAAAAACAGAACCTGCTATCTGAAAAGAGACGACAGCAACAGTTTTGAATTTTCTGCAATCTGGTTTTGGTTATGGAGTCAAGACAATGATAAAATGAACGAAACAGTAAAGCATTTTAGACATAACCTAACTTTCTTTCTTTCTAGTCTTGAAATTGAAGATAGAACGATTAAAATATAGGAGTTTCAAGCTTGCATCTTTAGCTTTCAATATATTGCTGACGTGGTGATGAAATCTAAGATTTATGTCTAAAGTAACACCTAAACATTTGCATTAGTGATCAATGGAATATGGACGTTACTAACCCTCAAATCAATCGTCCTTTCAAAACGTTCATAGTTGGTTTTATGACAGAATAACATAACTCTTGATAGGATTGGGCTTTAAACAGTTGACCTTGTAATTATGTTCTGCTCCTTAAGTTCACCAGGTCTAAATTAATTTTGTACGATACTTGATCAAGGTTAGTTGAGTCAAACGTGGAAGTCAGTTGGGTATAGTCCACGTCACTCTGTATACCTCCATTTCCAAACAGTATGCAAGACGAAAGTTTAGATTAAATATAATAAGGGACCAAATACGGATTCTTGTGGAACACCAGAAGCAACATCAGCACTAACAGAAACTCCTTGGCTTGTTCTTACCCGTTGCTTGTGATTGTCCAAATGAGATTTAAAAAACAAAGAGGAACATCAGAAAGTATTTAAATGCGGATAGAAGAATGTCACAACACTAGTACAATATAAACATGATTCTCCAAATTACGAATAATTTCATCAGGTACGTGCACTAATGCTAATGTAGTGCTGTGACCGCTTCGGAAACCAGACTGATAATTTGGAAATATTGTAGTAGGTAGAATCTAATGATGATGCCCACTATTTTAAGGTAGTTATAAGTATCCTCCATAGTCATGAGTGTTGATTTTTTCGCAATCACGTGCGGTTGGCAAATAAATGAAAGCTGGAAATACTTACAAAATTAGTGCTTAACTGCATAATCTTATTGGGTATGCAGCATGCACTAGCAGTAAATATCATCATCGGATACATCTATTAGCAGTGCCGCTGCTAACTTTACTTAGAGTGGGAGCTAGCTACTATTTATCCAAAAACACTTTCCACAATTCGGGTGTTAGCATCACTATATACCTACCTATATACAAGAATACAGTATAACTATACAATATACAAAATCTACATTTAAAGTGTACAAGTGGCAAATCTTTTACAGAAAAATTGTGATGGTTCTTATAATAAGTTCAATCTATGGTAATGGCTGATTTTAGTTTGACAGGCCAGATAAGGTAATAAATTGTCAATAGTAGTTTTTTGTTACATTAGATGTACCTTTTTTGTTTTGACTAACACTAAAAGTTTACTTTTGTTGTTAAAGTGCACCCACTGCAAATAATTTGTTTTGTAATGACCATATGTTTGAGTAACTATGTCAGCCATGTCGTATTCAGTTCTGATGTATACACCCAATACCAGACAGCCAGAAATTCTATTTGCAATCATATGGTTGAAATGCTGCTGTACAAGAAAAATTTGTACATAATATAGGTATTCGATATATGTACCATAATTTTGAAGTGCCTTAAGTGAATTAGTTATTATTGAATTTTAGTAGAAAAGGTCAAAGTTTTCATCTCTTCAATTCAAGCGAACCATCTTATACATAAACACTAAAGTAGTTAGTTGAGACATTTCATCATTGCAAAAATAATTTTTTATAAAACTCTTAAAAATGGCAGTCGAAAAGAGAAGTTGAAATAATATATGTAACAAACCACATTTACTACCATGAAAGTTCTTATAAAACGTTGTTTCTATATAAGAGGTTTTAATAAAAATGTGTATACGAGTATACAGGGTGTTCCAAATTAAGTACATCTGCATTGCCATATGGGTAACCGCTAAAGGTAATAATGTTCAAGTGTTGGTGCTATTTTATGATATTATTTATTACTGTTTTTAGAACACAATTGTGTTAAATTGTCAGTAAGACAATTAAGTTTTATAATGTAGTCGTAAGAACGTTCTTAGATCAAAAACACAAAACAGTTTTTCGACAAATTTCAATATTGTTTTATAAATATAAATGTTTGCACAACAGTTTTATACACTTAAGCTCACTGAACAAATTTGTTCCATAATAGACTTATACTGGCATTATGTGATATGAGTTCAATCGTTTGCGAACGTCAATAAAATGATTTTATTAGCGCTATAATATGGAATATTTATAAAATTCATTAATATCGTCTTTCTGATATTATCGCTCGCTAAACGGTATTGCGCTTAGATGGTACCTTAAAAATTTAAATGAAAAGCATTTATAAATACATTTATGAAAAAATAAGGCATACATTTTTCCGGGAAGATCCAGCACGTCTTTAAATCTGTTTAATGCTAAAACGGGGTATGATTAAGCATGGAAATCCATATTCATGCCTTAATTTAACCGACTTTCCAACTAGTGAAGATATTTTATATTTTTTTTATCATTACAAACATTTTTTTGTTTTATAATTTTTATATGTAGGTTTTATTATGACCATGTTAATGATAACTATACAATAATTTTTTTAAGCTACCATCTGAGTGCAATATTGCTTTAACGAGCGATACTATCAGAAAGGAAATATTAATAAATTAATTTTATAAATGTTCCTCAGAGAGCTAATAAAATTTTATTGATGTTCGCAAAGGAATAAACTCGTATCAGATAATTATAAATCTATTGTGAAACAAATTTGATCAATAAGCTTAAATGTCGTATAAACCTTTTGTGTAAACGTTTGTAAAACAGTCGTAAAATTGGTTTGTGCTTTTGCTTTAAGAACGCCCTTATGACTAAATAAAATAGCACGGACTGTTAAAGATAATAAAATATATATGCTAATAATTAGGAGCTTGAACAACTCCGTATTCCGTATGAAATACTTCAGAGCCAAGTCGAATAAATACCAAAGACCTTAGCTGCAAATTTGGTGACAAATTGTCCAAAACAACATACATACATCATGGGATGGCGAAACAGTATGGAGTAATTTTCTGAAAATTGATTTTGTCTTTTAAGCTAGATAATTTCGAACCTATATGTTATCGATGTCCTCGAAGCTATGAACATGGACACAAAATAATGACATGAGGCGTTAATATTTCCGTCCACCATCTCAAGGTCACATACATATAGAAAAACTTGAAAATCTTGGGGCAGATCAAAACTCTTGTGAAGAATAGACCAGAGGGACGATAATCTGTAGAGTGCAAATTTTCGTCATATTTCATTGTGACTGCAGGGATTAAATATATCATTGGACACTTATTGTTGTTTTCTGTTGTTTATAGTTTTTAACTATGAAGCTTCTGGAATATGATTATTATAAAGGAGGAATATCATGGATACTAATTCAAAATCTAGAACATTTGCAACAACCGATACTGTCTGGGACGGACCACAACGAACTGGCTGGAGATTCAATTAATAACAAATAATTTGTTGCATAGTAATAAAGTCAACAGTTGCAGCTGCCAAACAATTAGACTGTTCAACTAGGCGTGCGAAACAGCATCAGCTCAGGCCCGGTCGGCAGGCAGATGTAACCATTTAATTTACACGAAAAGAAGCATCCGACACACATCAGACGTTACGGACAATATACCGCGAGTTATATCAGAGTGACTTAGAAAAATACTGTGCTATTTTGTTGTAAGTCGATACAGGATGAATCAAAAACAGCGACAATTCTTCTAGAGTATCAGAAAATTATGCGGTAGGTTACCATAGCATACCAAAGAGTAGTTATACTAAGGGATCACAGTTAGACAAGGCGAATAAAAGGGGAACAAATTCCGGATGCGGCATTAATACAATTTTAGACAACACTGTCGAACTTCAACAAGAGGCAACACTAGGAAACAAGTAGCATGCCACATGTGGTTCACTGTTGCCTCAGTGGAATCCCACCTTTAGAGAGACATATGAGATGTAACCAACAATGCGGTTCTTATTTTGTCAAAGATAAATGCGGTGTTGCCAGGTAGATATTATATTTTACATTTAATGATATAAACCACAACTTTCGCGAGTGCGTTCCGGGTGATGTAGACGGAAAACCTGTGAGTTATCACATAGTTATTTAACTTTTAAGGCTCTACAAGGAGTATTAGACGATTTAGCTTAGCAACAAAAGAGGTCAACTTGAAATTCAAATTCTTTCTAACATCAAATTGCTTATTTGACCAATCGTCGATGTATTTGACATAGTTGCCAGTTATCTAGATATCTTTGCCCTAAGACTATAATTATGTTTACTTATTTACCACCAAAACCTTAAAAAGAATTGAACTCCATTCAGCTCATTATAAATGACAGATAGCTTGATATTGATAATCGATCGATAGACATTCATTGATCACATGTTATAAGTCAAAGAAGGAGAAATGATTGATTCATAGGACATATTAAAAATTACAATTAAAAAAAGATGTCAGGCCTACACATTATAATGAATTTTAATTTTGTACGATAAAAACTCTTAAACAATATAAAAGCATCTCTGGCATATAAATTTCTTCACTTTGAGCTTAAACTCATTATAATTTGTGATATCTCTTAGATATTTTGGTGATTTATTGAATAGGTGGATGCCGTTGTTAATTATAGATTTTTCATATACCATTGTTTTATGCATAGCAAAACTTGGAAGTGTTCTGCGTGTTGTATAGTTGTGGTTACTTCTAGGGGTAGTTGCTTTTCACAAATCGTCGTCTATACCGCAAAACCGGCGTAACTGATTTTATACAAATTTTCGATTCTATATATCTTTTCTACTTTAGACGACATGATCATGATTTCTGATATCTCTGTGA